AGTACCCGGATCTGCTCAACGCCCCCTAGTCGAGACATTTCGTTTTTTTTTCGCCTCTTTGCTATTCGGTCGCCTGCGAGGCCACACCCCTTGATGAAAAATCAATGACGAAACGCACGCTAGCGTACCTTGATGGGCGCGTTGATGTGCGGTGGGTCGATGACGGGGAATTGCCCAAATCGAAGACCAGGAAGCAGCCAGAGCAAACAAGACTGTCTTTTACTACAGCCGAGAGCGCACAAGTGGCTCAGGAGTTGGCCGTGGCCAACAATTTAATCAGAGCGAGAGTCTACCTTTAATATTTTGTCTGCGCACAGGGTGTGAACTTGCGTTTGCGTCATGATTAATGGTCCAAATGTCGGTTATGGCCACGGTAGACCAACACAGGCGAACTGTACTCCCAGGGAACTTATTTAGCGCTGTGTTTTAGGACTCTTTAAAAAGCTTCAACTGGGGCGACCTTCTAACTTTCTCCCTAAAAACCCACATTTTTCCCTTACATTGGCTAGTACCTCAAAGAAAGACTGTTGTTAACCAGTACTACGGTAGATTGGTAAACTCATGAAATGTCATGGTATAGACAAAAAAAATTTATTTCACGCGAAATCACTGCAAACGGCGTCCCTCCAAGTTTTGCTGCAGTAAACTACGTACCATAAGTAAAAAGAAGACATAGGTTGGTTGACAAAGTACTACTTGCTAACATAAAAATGTTTAATTTTCACTAAAAACTGGAACTATAGATAATGGGTATGTTACAAGTCACTGATTTACTGTTAAATATAGATGTGTTTAAGGCAGAGGAGCGCAATAAGCGGCAAATTAATTCAAACACAAAATGTATATACTTTTTAGACTGTGTATTAACATTTAAAACATCATTAAACCTTTCAGACCAGTTATCTATAGTCGTTTTTTCAATGCGATTATCCTGCACGGAAAGATTCCCCTTTGCCTTGTGCACATTTCTTTTGATAATTACAGAATGGTTTTCTATCGGAATCAGATCCGGGCTGTTGGTGGGAATAAAAATAGCTTGGAAGTCACACGCGCAGAGGCTGGCATTTTGCGCCTCAAGTCAACTTAATGAACAACCTCCAAAGTGTGCCAAATCCTTCACTCAACTTTCGACCTTCGCGTTTCATCAGACATACAATCTACTCTATAATGCCTGAACATAGTTAT